AGAATTAAAAAAATTAATTATCAGTAACCGATTTTTCTCACTAATAACCTTTCCTCTACCCATTTTGAAAACCTTAACTACTCAAAACTATTTTAAACGTATTCTGACAGCTGTGATTAATAAAAACAATTGTCATGGCTTTTATTTTTCACAGCCACCTAGGCGTTATAGACTTATTTTGCATTGAAATGAAAATAGGTTGATATGCTGTAATTGCAACATGTGTTATTTTTATGCTGCAAATTTGATTAGGGAGTGATAAAGTTGGTGTTTTCTACTATATGTTATCAAAATGTTCATTGTTAATATTTTAAACTTATAACACCCTGCTACATTTTTATTATTTGTGTTTGATAAGAAAAAAATAAGATACCAATAGTTGGGCCAACTGAAGTGGGAAGGGGCTCGTAGTCTCTAACTTGAAGGATAACTGCAGCGTAGGACTCGCTGCGTCAGAAGTGGAAGTGATTGCGTGTCAAAATAATCTAGCTTTAGGATCATTAGTCTCAAATAAAAAATGTGTGGTCTTCAGATCAATATTCAGTTTTACGTTGCATTGCCTTGAAAGCGAAAACGTTATTTAGTTCAACATATTTGTGTGAATCTTCTTTTTCAAATATGAAGTTTATTAAAAACAAATACCGTAATCGATTTGCAGATGATTGTTTGGATAATTGTATTCAAACCGCGGTATCAAATTATACTCCAAACATTAAAAAAATTGTCAGTGAGTCTGAGCGTCAGACTTCTCATTGTTACACGCTTTTTTATCTGGACATGTTTTTGTTTCAAATAGTGCGTTGCTTTTTTTATTTTTAGTTACCCTTATTAAATCGTGTGTGCCATGCCATTGAAGCTGACGAAAAACTTTGTTTATTTTTGACATCTACGATTGGTAGGAGTGGTTGTAGCTATGTAGCAGGTATTAGTTATTCGTTTATTAAAGTTTATTAGTATGTGTATTAGTATTAGTAAAATAACATATGTTTGTCGCACACAACTGTGTATAATTTCATTTAATTGCTTACCCCTAGGTAGCTCACTGTTTATTCCAAAATTATCAAAGTAGCTCAATACACTGAAAAGGTTGGCGACCACTGGTCTACAACATACCAGATCGAAACCTCACATTGCTCTATCGATTTCAGACTTTTCATCTATAAGTAATTAACACACTGAACTCTGCGAAAGTTTCCAATAGGTCCTTAATAAATCATCTTCAGCAGTCGATGGCTTATTATTTAAGCTCGCCAGCGGAGAAAATTAGCGGGGAGCAGCGTATTTTTAAAAATAGTCCAAGTTCTCCGTGGATTGTCATTAATTTCCTTGCCATCATGCTTCTCATAATTACCTCCAGGCCCCGAGAAAGTCTCTTGAAGGAGAAATTGAAAAACCTGGAAGTTGATATTGCAGCCGGTATCTAAAAAGTTTCGTGAAAGGTCTCGAGAGACCTAATTTATTAAAAAGCAAATGAATGGTGGATATTTAGATTAAGCACAAAATCAAGGAGAAAGCTAGGGAGTGTAAGTACATAGTGGAGGAAATGTTTAAATGTGAAGAAAAAAAGTACCAGCTGATTTTAAATAATTTGTCTTTCATTTTTCCGTGCGAACTCAGGTTTTTGAGAGGAAGAGAGAGAGAGAGAGTGAGAGGAGTACGTGCCACTTCCCACTAAAAGCCATGACAACTGTTTTTATTAGTCACAGATGTCAGAATACGTTTAAAATAGTTTTGGATAGTTAAGGTTTTCAAAATGAGTAGAGAAAAGGTTATTAGTGAGAAAATTCGGTTACTGATAATTAAATTTTTTAATTCTGGGAAATCAAACTCAGAAATTGCAACTTTGTTAGACTTATCGCGGGCTAAAGGACATAGACAATGGACACCTCAACCATGGTGTGCAATACAATGGAGTGATGAGGCCCGATTCGAAGTTTGTGTTGGTGACAGTCGCAGTAGAGTTATTCGCAAAAAATGAAGCATTCCATGTTGACTGTCTGAAGAGAAATGTTAAATTTCCTGCATCCATTATGGTCTGGGCAGTATGTCATCAAAAGGAGTAGAAAAACTTCATTTTATTGATGGAAATGTGGATACAAACAATTTTAGAAGAAAAGCTTTTACCAGTGATGGAAGAATGTTTGACATCCGGCCAAGATTTTGTGTTTCAACAAGATGGTGCAGCGTGCCATACCTCAAAAAAGGCTATAAAATGGATGGAAGAAAATAATGTACCACTTTTGAAATGGGTTTCTAGCAGTCCAGATCTGTCACCTATTAAAAATTTGTGGCACGAGATGAAAAAGAGTCTACGACAACATCCTGCTCGTACAATCACCGAACTGAGACAAAAGCTTCAAGAAATATGGGATTGTTTTACACCAAATTTTTGCCAAAACTTGATTAACACTATGCCTCAAAGAACTTCAGCCGTAATAAAAAATAAATGTTACAAAAGGGAAATCTTTGAATTGTTACTTTGTTAACTTCGCGCACTTATTCGCATATTGTTTATCTGTTCAGATGTTCTATTAGTTATAGGTCTAATTGATTTCAAATATGTATTTTTTACGACTGAAGTGTATCTAAAATGTTTTTGAGAAAATAAATTGTTTTAGAAGTAAATAGGTTCATCATGTTTAGTTTATAAAGGCATATTTTGGCACAAATCTTGAAATGGGAAGGGGCCGTAGAAGTAGTATTATTAGTACTGGTTTGATTGAGGAAAAGAATATTCTACAAAGATATATATGCCAATAATACAATTGTACAGTAAGCAACGGAAAACTCCAAAGAACATAAACTTGTGCTGGGCATTAACCGATATCTAGAGACAATTAAACCTTGAAACAGCATAACTTTAGTAAAATTGTAACATTATGAAAGATAAATGAGCTAAGTTAAACTAAAAAAATAAAACAAACACATAACACATTAAAAGCTAGAAGTTAGTTGTAACTGTTATAATGCAAAAGTACTCACATTAGCATAAACAGTAGAGTGCTAAAATGTATAAAGAAACTGACAGGATATAAGGTATATAAACCGAAACAGATTAAAAGGTATTTAATTAAAACTAGGTACTATGTCAATGAAGTCTGATTTGTAAGCATTGTACCATATTTAAGATATATCATATAGTCATTGTTTTATTAAAATGTCGGTGAGCACAATTTTTGCGGCAATGTAATCATGGATAACAACCCTAGGTATTTTATGTATCCATTGTTTAATTTTTCTTGAATAGGTTCATTGAGCTTAATAATTTACATTGTACAGGAATACTGTTGTACATATGAGATCCAAGGAACGTCCATGATCTCAATATTAATGATTTTCCGGTTTCGGTACAATCAAATGCGACAGCGCCTTTTGCCGAGTATATACTTATGATTAACTTTATTTTGAGAAACCCTGTTTTTTTACTGAAATACGAGTAGGTTGTAGGCATAGAGTTGGCGGGTATTGAATATCTCTGTATGAATAAATAATAATGCATAATAATAATATTTATTCACTCAATGTACAAAGATAACAAACAATATGAGTAAATAAATATAAAATCAATAGATCATTAGAAGGGTAAAAGCTTGGATTTTTCCCATAACCTTGAGAATACGTTTTTGAGCTACTTCAAGGTTCTTAATAAAGATGATAGTTGCTCCAGCCCCAGCCTATGAAGCATTATACGAGATATGACTGTACAAGAGCTAGTCAAAGACTATTTAGATGTTTCTGTGATAGGAATGTTGATAGTTGTCTGAATCTTGGCAAAAGCATTCTGAGCTTTCTTACAAGATAGTCAATAAGGTTGCTGTCGATATAAACACCTAAATATTTTATACTATCTGCTCTTTGCACGATGACTGGGTACATAATGTTTATCGAGATGGTCAGCGAATTGTACTCAGGTAAATGACACTTATAGGAGAAATAGTGATTTAATATTTGGAAAATATGCCAATTTTGATTTCGCAAAAACCATATGAAAAAAATCAAATTTCAATATTGTCAAAGTTCCTAAACACCTATTAACAAAATCCAAAAACATTTTAGGAACTATTGTTATTGTAAATCTACTATTAGTAATAGTAAGTATTGTAATCGCAAAATTTTTCGAAAATAGGATATTATGTTTACTAGGATGTTATATCATTTCCGTCGGTCTGTCTGTCTGTCGGTCTGTATGCTTATCTTATAACCCTTTATAACTTAAGAAGTACCGCTCTGAATTTGATGAAATCACATAATGTGTGTAGCTTCTGAAAATCGGTCGAGTTGCGGCAAATCAAGATGCCCAGAACGACAAACTCAAACTGCATTTTTTAGCGTTTCAGAAGATACTGATCATTTTTGAAAAAAAATTTAGAGGTACAAAAAACTTGGTGGTGGGGTTGTAACGGGGTGGAGAGGGTTGATCTCAATTTTTGCTGGTGGTGCATTTATACGCTTCTAGCATTGATGATTCTACGTATATGACATATTTCACACATCATAGATTTTTCTGTACATATTCTCGGGAGAAAGATAGCGTCCTAGCGGCCGCGTGTTCTGGTATGGAATCGCATGTAATTCTGCCACACAACAGCATATAATGTTCTACACTCTGACCGCGCTAGCACAGTGCCGTGTCTCGCCGAGTGCACTACCGGTAGGGCAGAGAAATGATGTCTATGGATTAATTGAGGCGTGTTTTACAAAAACAACATGTACATATGTCCAAGATACAAAAATTGCAGGAAACAGAAAAAACGATTTATTTCAAAACTAATAATTGTCTTGGATACTTTTTTGTTAATTGCTATTAATAATAGCTTGAAAAATATGCTCCTCACGAAAAGAAATATGTGAACTTAAATAATAAAATAAAAATAATTAAAAACTGTTGGGCATAAGTTGTATTTGTAAGAAAACAAAACGAAGTTCGAAAAATATTTCCTTTATTTCAAAAAAGAATAAAATGATTATATAAAAACGGATTAATGATGATAAACAATAACTTAATCTGCGCATCTAGTGCTATCGTCGTATTCTTTAATTTCGGAGTTAGGTGTATTATTATCATGGATACGTTCGTAGTACTCTTTGTTAGATACGAAGCGTAGTAACGGTAATAGCAATTTTAAACTTCCTGCTTTATTTGAAGCAACTGGTAGTAGTTCATTGAGGTGTCTTTCAAGTTGGATAGTGCAAGGTAAATTTGATTGAGCAACGATCGTGATTTGAAATGGTCCGTTATAGGTATCCTTTAAAAATAGTGTGGATGTTTGGCTAGTAATTCTCAAAATCCTGATGTTTTTAATGTCAATAGCCGGCTCTGAATTATTTAGGAAATAGTTGGATGTTGCGGATTTTATATCAAAGAAGTCGTACTGTTTCACTTCCACCAAATAAAATGGGCTGGGTTTCATTCTGGCATTTAAAATCACTTTAACCCAATCCTCTGGTCTCTCGGCTCTCTCTAAGCGTCTCTTCTTTTTTTCTATTGAAGCAAAATCTGAATCATTTGGTAGAAAAGAATGTCCTCTCATTGGAAATATGTATTCTGCCGAATCAACAATCTAGAATATGAACTAGGACGTATAAAAAATGAGTCATTACATAGTTTTTATTTTGCCTTGGACGATCATCACTAGTAATAACTAAATTGCAGTTGTGGAAGATAATGCAACACCATCGAAGTGACCTCATTGGCACCATTTCGGCTTCAGTTTCGAGGTAAGGGTACATAGAGGCATCATCAGTACCTAGCTCATGTATACCAAAAACATTGTACCACAGTTGCCGGCTATAAAATACAGGGTTAGATGGTTATGTGGAAGGGGCAGATTTTGCATAAATCAACTTCGCCAGCTTTTGCTTTGATTTTAAACTTTCGTTTCAGTTCAAAAAATGATTCTGCTATACGAAGGTGTATCTCTTTTTCTACTTCTACTTTGTTCCGTCCTTCTGCACTAAGGTCGGCACGGTTGAGTTGCTGAGTAAGTCTATCACACTCTGAGCAAGTGTCAGATCTCGGAAATCCAAATTTCATATTAAAATATGTCCTAAATACTTTCCAGTAGGTTTCATATTGTATGTTTATATTATAACTTTGCAGAAACATACTATGCATATCCTTCAAGGTGAGAGATTCTGGTAAATAGGAACAGTTTAGATTTTTACGACGTGAATAATGCGACCGTCTAGCAGAAAATGGATTTTAATGAGTTCCACAATACGTTCTGGAGTTTTTTTTTCTGGTATGATGTATTTCTCGTTTATTTCCGGGACAAGCTCCAATGATCATCAGAGAATCTCGAATAATTCGTCTTGGACGAGCATCCTTGATGCCATATAGGCTGAGAAAAGCTGTCTTATAAACTTTGATTTCAGATTCCCCAGCCCTAACTTTGTATGTGAAACAGGCGTTTTTCTATTTACTTGTGTTCGAGGGCGTCTTCTAATAGTATGACTCATTGTAATAAGGCCAGTTAAATTTGAGTCTCGACTATTTTTATCATCCATATCATTAAATTGCCTTAGAGGAGAACGTCCCTTTTTTTCGCAAACTTTAGAGAAACAGGAATTCTTGCAAGTATAACAAAATAATCTTCGTCAGTATACCCCATATTAAAAAATTCAACTGCAAATATTCCTGCAGAGCTCACCAGTTCTACGTGCTGTAGCAGGATCGCCTTAATGGTTGATGTGTTCTTTGCCACGAACTTTTAACTGTTTTATCATTGTTTCACGCTTTATTTTATTTGCCTTCCTTTTGCGTCAATTCGTAGGCACTTCTTCACTATTATCCATGATTTAAGCTATATTTTTAAGCTTTAGTTAGATAACGTTATATTGTAGCCGCCACTTAATAACCCCAACATCACGTCTAGTCTAATCACATTATAATAACGAGCTGATTTATTCGTACCAGTCACCTGAAATTTCCAACAAAAAGCACACCACAGTAGGGGGCATACGTGCTTTTTGCGGAAACCTCGAAATTTTTACTACTTAAATCTTAGAATCTATGACATTTTTGAAGAATCTACTACTACTAGATGAAGTCACTCACTCAATTTCGTTAAATTGGGACTTATGTGGTTTTTGTAAACACGCCTCAATTGTAAGGGTCTGTTTGACTGACTTTTTTCTCGGAGGGTCTAGTTTGTGCTGAACATATTCCTTTATGAACTGATAAGGGCGGTGCGTGGGAAGTACAGAGTCAACCTACTTGACGCCATTTTTTCAGTGGTTATAATGTAGTCTGGTGTGGTTTATCATGGTTGCCAGATGGTCGACATTCAGGGCAGGAAGAAACTAGCGTTAGCGTTATTAAATGTGTGGCGACTATACAGTATGGACTAATTGTATGGACCTGTCTGGCTGACTTGATCCATCCAATTCCTTTGTTATACATGTTTGTAGCTAGCTCAGAGGGGCCAACGAACTTAATAATTCTTGATCTGATGACAGCTTTGTGTAGGAAATGCATAGTAAACCATGACCCCATTTTTTGCGGCTTCCATACTCTCAATATTAAGGGCTAAGAAAGCAATTTTCCTGATAATATAGGACGTGAGTGTGGTTGAATATCGTTGTTTCCTGTAAATAAATTATCGCTTATAGTGGCTTAGTTGGATTCGCCTCCTCCAGATGGCGTTGTGACAGGTGGTATTAGCATATAGCTAAAAGAGTACTGTAGTGTACCAATAATCTGTGCTATACAGTCAAGCAGCTTCTCACGTGCACGACAGCGCAACTCGTACAAAAATAATCCTAGATCCATTCAAGTTCTTGAATCAACCGCTTGAGTTGTACACTTTTCTTAGCAACATACTGTATACGGGGTCTGTAAATCAAGTTATGAGACTGGCAACGTAGCGCTCGACCTGGTAACACTGGCGGCGCCGAAATTGGAGGGGGGACACGGGAACATGTTATCCGCCTTCAGTGCAAGTTTGAATTCGCCCGAGCATTTGGTTGTCCGTCTCGATTTTTTTTGTGAAACAGATTTTTGGAATCAATTTCGAACAACGGTGTGCGCTATCAGGTTTTGCGTCACACTTGGGCACAGTGCAAACTTCAGCAGGCCTACGGAGATACTGTTTTGTTAAGAGCCGAGGTTCATGCTCAATCGACTCTCACCTTCCGAAAATGCCTTAAGCCAAGAAGCGGAAGGTCTTCATTTTCAAGAACCGATTAAAATATCGATAGAAACCGGGATCGTGTGCGTTTAGATCGTCGGTTGACAGTCAGAATGATGGGGAAAGAGGTATATTTGATCACCGTTTATCAGATCAAGGACCACTGGGTGGCATCACAATAAAGTTCCTTGTCTCACGTCAAGGGAACTCATGCTATGAGGAGTGGAAGAACAGTCTCCAGTGCTGTGTGGCTTCAGAAGAATGTTATTTTGTGGGTGGCAATATTAAATTGTAATTATATTTGACTAAAAAAAATAAAACAAAATCAGTCTTCATTTACAGACCTCGTACGGTTTTCTAAGGGCTCTCACTTATATAATCTTCTCGAATGACGATGCCTGTCTCACGCAGAGTGCGTAAACAACCTGATGACAAAAAATTTACCGAATTAGATGGGGTGACGCAGTATCTCCGTTGCCCTCCGGCATCCGATGTTCTTGATTGAATTTCCAGATAAGAAGCTCTTCTGGCGCTAGGGGTGATTCGCCGGATATATTGATGAAATATGATAAGGTGGAGATACCTTGAACAAGCCGATGAAAACGATGACGTTTAATATAAGTATATTATTTCTTGTGCAAATTACCAGATACTGTGTCGAATCGTCCGCAACACAGTGTCCTACAATGACTAAAAAAGTGTCGTCAAATAGATTTCCTCCATTCTTCCTACGCCTTCGTTGGAGGTTTCCAAAAAGAAAACAAGGGATGAGTTAAATTGTTTCAGAAAGCGGAATCTTATGGTGACTAGGTAGGTTCACTTAGGTACGATGAATCTTCGACCTCTGCATGTCAAACTGTATAACGCAAATCTATCATATTCCTATTTTCACGGCCGATGTAGGGAGAACATGTGTGACCCATTTTGTCTAACAGGTGCATATTATCACTGAGATCAGCAGCTTCTGAATAATAGAATGTTCTTCAAAAAATGTCTGAAAATGAGCAGGAATATCTGAAACGTTGTAACACCATGTTCCAGTGATTTTATTTCAGCCACCTCTGAATCAATTTTAAAAATCTACGACTACCTATACCAGGCCTCTCCAACTCGAGCACTTGGTGCTGGTGCGCTCCGGGGCTGAACCCAGCGGCACCAGTGCCGTTCCCCTCCACCTCGACCACACAGCCGTCGCGACAGAGAGAAACATATTAGCCGACTGTCTCTCGGGTGCGGGCCATTTCTTAATAGGACAAGACAAAGCGGACAGGTTTTTTAGCGTCTTAACGTGCATCTTTTTTTACACGATGTTATTCAATCCTGCATGGAAGAAGCCTATTTTTTGTAAATACTGTTTAATTTGTCACACGGTATTGAGGCCAGCCCTTCTAAGTTCTGAACAGGTAATTATTAATTTGGTCGTAGTTGATTATTATTACTAATGGTGTCGTAATGCAATTTATATTGTTGCTTTGAAAATCGCAAAAAGTGGGAGACCATTTACTGATGGTGCACTTGTCAAAGAATGCTTAGTGGAGGGTGCGGAAATGGAAATATTGAGCCCATCTCCTGTAAGAGAGACAATTAATATTTCCGAGCAAACAATGTCTCGTCGGGTACTTGAACTTGGTGCAGATTTAAAAGAACAACTGCGGGAAAATGTGCCCATTTTGTGCAGTATTCTATAGTTCTCGATGAAAGTAAAAACATTTCTGACACAGCATAATTAGCTGTTTTCGTTAGAGGTGTCGAAATAGTCTCTACTATCACCGACGAACTACTAGACGTTATCCCGCTCAAAGATACAATGGCCGGATAAGATATTTTTGATGCTGTAGAATACACAATGAATGACATGGATATACTACTCAAAAGTTTGCGTAGTGTTGTTACCGATGGAGCGCCAGCAATGTTGTCGGAAGCACAAGGTTTTACTGGGCGAATGAAAATAAAAGTATTCTTTATCTGAAGTCACTTGAAATAGCATAAAAACCTTTGGTCGGCGCGTCCTTTGTAATTTCATGACGTATCATAGGCGCGCGGTTATTTATTTAGAACGATAATAATAATAATGTTTTTATATCACAATAAATGGATTTTACTATCTTCTTATTTTTTGATTTGGGATAAAAAATACTTATATTGGGAGTTTAATTTATGTTGACTGAAAGTTAAGAAATGGAAAAATTACAGAATTCCAACGTTTGACATAGGCAAATATTTACATAGCAGGTAGGTATATAAAAAGGTATACTTATAAAGACTTTCATTATAGGTATTTATATATCATCCTCGCCTTCGGAGCTGTTGCTAGAGTCATCTTGTAGAGGAATTACAACGGGATTTACAGGAGGCAAAACACAATATTCATTTTCTTTTTCAATAATATGCCTAGAACACTGCTTCCATAGGTCTGTGGCAGCAATATGAGA